TTAAGAAATAAATTATAACATTAAGGCCCCATTTTCCTAAAATAATTACTTCTTAAGCATATTTATATATTAAGGCTGTGTTCTAAAGATACATTCTAACTATAACCAAATCATTGGGTTTCCAAATTGGCTGAACATTGGAATCAAAGATTTCTTAAAAATTTCTGAGGCTCATCCCAGAGATGCTGATACAATCTGTCATATTCATTGGCAATGGAATTCTAACATGCAGCAATCTGAGAATCTCTGGTCTAGAGGTGAGTCTATCTATTGAGTTTTTGTTTTATTTCAACTGCTCCTTATCTAATTTTTTTAGGGTTTCTAACTGGATCTTTTTCATATCACCAATCCTGGTCCTGGTTCTGGCTTCATACATGCCAATTTATTTTTTATGATCTTCTCCTATCTTCATATATTTATTTTTACATAACAGATTATTCACTCTTCTAATTTCTTTCTTTCTTTTTTTCTTTTTTTTGGGAGACACAGTCTCTCTCTGTCGCCCTGGTAGAGTGCGGTGGCATCATTGTAGCTTACTGCAACCTCAAACTTCTGGACTCAAGTGATCGTCGTGCCTCGGCCTCCTGAGTAGCTGGGACTACAGGTGCACACCAAGGATGCGCGGCTGAATTTTTTATTTTTAGTAGATACGGGGTCTCGCTCTTGTTCAGGCTGGTCTTGAACTCCTGAGATCAAGCAATCCTCCCACCTTGGCCTCCCAGAGTGCTAGGATCATAGGTATGAGCCACTGCACCCAGGCTGCCTTTAAATTTTTGAGGATCTCAAATATCTTTATTTTAAAATTCTTTTCAAATTGTCCTATTATTTCTATTTCCTTAGAAATAAATTAGGCTTCTGTTGACTTTGTTGTTTTTTATTAGTTTTCTTTTATGCTATAAAATTTTAGTTTGTCAGCTCATTGTAAGTGGGAATTCCTTTCTATTCATGCATATCCTATTGTAGCAGGTAGTTTTGCTTCCAGCCTGCTCACAGCTGTGTGTGTGAGAGTGAGTGTGTGTGTGTGTGTGTGTATGTGTGTGTAAGAGATACAAAGAGACTCAGCCCCTTCTTTCACTCCCATGGGGAGCTTTCAATACTTGTTTTCCCAAAGGAACTGAACTCACAGACTACACTGCCTATTTCCTATCCCAGCATCTAGTAAGCCCACAGTTTCAGACATTTTCTCTGATATGTATTTCTGTAAAACTCCACAGAAATTTTTCTTGTTTTGGTGACTTGGTTATAATTTCCTAAAACTATGTGTTTTGATACCATTTATCTATAATTGTGGAGTTAGCAGAAGGAATTACGATTGGAAAGGTGGAATATCCATATATATCTGCTCTATTATTGTCACTAAAAATGGTGATAAGATACACATGAGGAATTGGAACAGATTTGAAAGGGCTTGGAAAGTCTTGTATGTTAACTTCCGTAGCATATAGAAAATTAATCTTGAGCCTATATCCACTGGCCTAAGAACTGATCTAGAATATGCCACTGAAGATTTCATTCTGTGAAAACTAATTATTAATAACATTCTATTCTAATTCCCAAGGAACACAAGAGATTCCAGTTGAACCGTTCTGTTCTTCTCTTTTGAATGGAATCTTTGCTAGAGTGAGTGCTGACTTTTTCTTGCAATGTATAATTTAACATGAAACGACTAAAAAGATTAAAAATCTGCATACGGAATGATAGGTAGGAAACTTGCCTGTGAAGCAGGGTCTCCTGATTTCCATCAACTGCATTAACGATATTGGTGCTACCAGAATAGGATGATATCATCAGTTTGACAATCTCAGTGGCTCCCTGGGTGGCAGCAAAATGAAGGGCCATACACCTCCCATTCTGTAAAGAATTTTGATACCAGAATCAATGTTTCAATCCCGATCTAAGAATATAACTTATATTCAGCTGTGAGTTTTGTCTTCCTAGGTTAATAAAACCAAGGAATATCTATCACATTTCAAATGATCAATAGTGATCAGTCTCGTCTATTGAAAAGCATCAGTATAAATATCACAGATAGCAATTGGGTGTCCTTGGAATCTGACAGCTCTTCCCATGTACTTCCACCATCATCATCGGGATGCCATTCTTCCTCCTAGGAGTATGAGAACCATGTCTTATTCATTGCTATAGGAAACCCAGTGTATAACGTGACTTCAGACCCCATACCAACAATGGCAGCTCTTCTTTTCTATATTGAAGGCAATTAGGAGCAGGGTCCAGAAGCCACACGAGATTAATAACCAATCCCCTCTTCCTCCAGAAACCACAGGCCTTTGGTGGGGAGCATGTTGCCACCCAAAACTCAGCGAAAAGGGCCAGAACTCTACACTTTTGGTCAGAAAGTCCTAACATAAGGCCACATCTCAAGCACAGTCAATACTTTCACATACATATCCTTAGAAATTAGTTAAGTGGCCCTTAGTTTAAAAGATGACAACTCTTCAGAATAGAACTATAACCAAAGACATTCATGACTGGGCCTTAATGTTCCTGGCTGACAACAGTAACATATTATCATCTTCTGAGGGCTGACTTTAACTCATTTAATGGCAGTTAAACTGTATATATGATCTTTATTGTATCTATATTTGTGTCTGCAATTGCTTTTGGTAACTCACATTATTCCTTACATAAACTGAAATTTGGGGGTTGAAATTTTCTCTTGTTCTGCTTCTATATGAACAGAAGGAAATAATATCTATTTCTTATATGCACTTTCAATCTAAATTAACTGTAAAAGAGCTATAAAGCATTTAGAAAATAATTTATGACGATTTTAAAATACAGGTGTCCTGTAGAATACAAGCAATTACCTCCATCAGGTCTATGTGTGCACCATTGTCCAAGCACATTTTGATCATTTCCAAGTCTCCACTTTGAACGGCCATGTGGAGTGGGCTGGCTTTCCCATTATTCACAAAGTTAATGTGAAACTCACGGCTGTATCCATGTTCTTCACCTGCAGAAGAAAACAACATTTCAAGACAACAAATATTTAAAATAAATAATAGGGAATATTTTTAAAAGAAAGGGCATTTAGACTTCCATAAAAGCCCATGTGTACATGTTATTAAATACTTTTCAAATGAATAGCATCCACCAGAATAGGCTTCCTTATAGCATGTGATGTAGGAAAGCCTTTACTCACCATACTTCAGTATGATTTCCATGCATTTTTTGGCACCTGAAAATGCAGCCTGGTGAACAGGGAAGCATCCCCATTTATTTGGTTTACATGACTTAGCTCCTTTATTAAACTGGAGGAAAAGAAAGAAGAAAAAATAAAGTCCAATGATACATGTTAAATCCCAAACCACAAAGGTGAACAAGAATTTATGTGCCTCTCCCAGATCATTTCATTATTGTGTGCCTATGTAAAAACACATAGAAAGCTTCATATGATATGAAATCTAGGCAAGAAGATAATTTTGCACTAGGCTGAGATTATGAGATAGAGACATTTTATATCTTCCAAAGACAAGGTGACAATGTAGACACAAAAATATCAATCTTGATAACCTAGCAAACTAATGTCATCACATTTTTCAATGGGATTAACGAGATTTTTAAAGACATTATCATGACTTCTATATCCACTCTCAATTCCTTCTGCAAATAAAGTGATGATATTTCTCAGCTTCTTTTTCCTTTATTTATGTAAAATTAATAAATGAATATGCCAGCACACTAGTCAAATTATGAAAAGCAGGTCTTTTCACTAATGAAGGCTCTTTACTAAAAAGATGCTAAAAGAACTCAATGTTGTATTACCTTTTTCTCTGAGCCTATCATTTTTAACTACCATTTTCTATACATCACTGGACTTCAGTTTTGTTTTAAATACCTTTAATTATTACAAAAGAAAAGCTCTGAAAAAGCAGAAGAGTGTGAAGAAGCAAATTCCACTTGTAATCTTGGCTTCTAGAGGCAGCATCAGTTTCTTTTACATATATAAAAGAAATATATAATATATATTTTACATACATATTATATATTTTATACAATATATATATTTATATATATATATAAAGTTGTATATCCAGAAATGGAAGATATTCTTCATAAAATCACATTACTAAAGATATTGTTATGAAAAAACTTTTTTGAACAATGTGATTACACAGTTTACACATAAATATTATATTTTCAAAGAAATAAGATTTTTAAAAATGTATATTGGTTTTGAAGGTGTTTGCAACTTTATTTCTTATTTCTTCTAATTTTCTTTTGGTTAATTTAAGGTTCTTTTTCTAAATTCTTGGTTTGAGTGTTAGTTAATGGTTATTTTTATTCTCTTTATTATTTATTCTCTTTTAGGCCCAATCACGACAACTTACAGAGTATGTGCTTGTCCCTAAGTACATCTAGTAAATATGTTAAAACATATTTGTACAGTGTATTTCAATAGCAGGCAACTATTTTGAAATTCTTTTCTTTCATTTTCCTGCTCTCTGAGATGGTGAAGAGGCAAATTCAAGTGGTAAAAATATAGAGCCTAGCCTGGATAACATACAAGGGATTAAGGACTATTTGAAAGAAAGCTATTAATTGGAATTCTAATGGCACTCTTGGAAGGAGCCTTGCGAGGAACAGGAGTCAGTCACTGAGACAGGCATCAGCAGCGTTTTATTGGACCACCCCAGGAAGCCGCACCAGAGAGAGAAGGCCAGGCCGGCTCTGCTCTCAGGGACGTGTGTAAGGACTTTAGTCATTAAATCACACAGAGTTCCAGTTTGAGAAGCCATGGCAGCAAATCTTCTGGTCTTGGGAACAGGAGTGGCCGTGTTTCTTTTGGTTTTTATCTATGGGCCATAAGTCTGCAGTCGACTATATTCAGCTTTCCTTTGACTGTCAGAAGCTCGGAGTCTAATGTATGACCCACCTTTACTAAAATATAGGCCATTATATTTTGTATTTTATATTTTAACCTGACCACCAGCTTCATCTTAATTTTTCCTGCGTATATTTTCTTTTCACTCCAATTTTCTCCCACTTTCATTGCTTTACTGTCAGTCTTCTGTAAGCAATCTCGGATCCACTTAAGGGGTATGCACATATACAAAAACATAAAGAACTAATTTTTCTGACCTATTTTATATTTTGCTAAGGATGGAAACAAAAGAACTATTGTAAATAACAATAATACATGTTATATTCATGAAAAGACAAAGAATGCAAAAAATATGATTAATAGACACACCAAAATTTGCAGTGCTTCACTGTTATCTTTGGAGCATGCCATTAGCACAGCTGTGTTTCCACTTTCTCCTTCCAAATCAACATTAGTACTGCTGTGCTCAGTCAAGACCTAGAAGGGGAGAATAATTGTCAAAAAGCTAAATTGTGGATTTGTAAATAAGGTACTTGTCTTTCACCAGATTATAAGTTTGTAGATGCCAGGGACCATGTCTATTTGTCTTTTTTCATCCCTCTCTGACACAGTCTAACACAAAAGCTTGCACACAGTGGGCATTAAATAAATTTCTCAAATAATAATGATTTCAATATCACATCAATTAAGGCAAATACTGAGTTGTGGAATTGGAAACAGAATAAGAATTGTAGATACTAGTTAACATAGCTTCACTTAATATTTCTCACTCACTTGTATTAAGTGAGCGATGTTAACTAATATTTTCAAGAAAATAAATCTATGGAGCCGTTTAGAATGTGTGCATGGGGGAGAAGGAAGGGGGAGGAGGGAGGATGGGGGGAGGGAGAAAGTGAGAGAGAAAGATAGGGAGGGAGGAAGGGAGAGAATGCTTTCTTTTTCCCTTCTAGTCATTTTTCTTTTACCTAGATTACAAGCATTCTGGGAAATGTCAATAAAAACTCCATTCTCTTCAGTAAAAGAAATACAGTTTTGTGTAACAGTTTGATATAGCTTAACTCAATTAATTAAAACTTGGTCTGGAACAGAAACTTCTTCTACAATATAAGAAATTAACATGCTGATAGAACAGTCAAGTAATTTTTCTGATGGAATTTCATTGAAGACCTGTAACTTCCTCACTTGATTGACTACCTGCTAATTATTGCCCAAGAGTCTATAGATCTTTAACCCGTCTTCATTTTATTTTAAATGTAACCAAAATTATGTCATATAAATGTCTTATCAAGAGAGAAACCTTTGAATTGGTCTATCAGAGGCCTTTCCTCTGACAGCAAGACTGTGATAAAACTATGACATGTGCTTATAAAATAAATTGTTTTTAAAAATTTATTAAATAAGCTGTTTCTTCAAAGCCTTGACCATGCAACCTACTACCAGAGCCACTTGTTAACAGAATGTACCCCGATACCTTAGCAAATGATTCAGGCTTACTAATTAGCTCTGCTCATAAAAGGAAACTGAACCGAGATTTCAGCGCATAAGAACACACAGGGAAATTATCGATGGATGTGGGGAAATGAGGATACAAGATTCCTTCTGTGGACTTTAGGCACCTTCACATTCTGTCCTTACGAAGTCTAGGTTCACGTGTTAAATAACATACCATAGCCTGCAAGAAGAGATTTTTCTTTCTTTGCCCTCTTAGAATCATAAATCATAGATCTGTCACATATATTAGGCTGTTATTATTGTACTACCATAAGCACAATCTTTCAAAAAGTTGTGTTACATTACATGTGGCAGGGGGCCCAGAGGGCTCAACTAAACTGTGCACCTACTTCAAATTCAGTCATGACCACACAAGTCTGTAAGGTTCGGAGGTGAGCTCACCAGAGATTTGATGAGAATCTAGGAAGCCCCATGGAAGGGTCAAACAATTGGATACTTTGAAGTTAAGCCCCAAGGACTAAGGCCTGCAGGCTACTGAGAGACAGAGCTCCCCAAATCCCCAGGCCATACCATTGGTCATCTGTGCAGGGACTTGAGGTGTTGAACAAATGAAAATTTTTTATTTACAACCATATAGGCAGCAGGGGAAGGGTTGGGGCAAGCTGGCGGAGCAGTGGATGGAGCAGCCTTCTAGACTGGCAAGGGCTGGGCGGGTGCAGGCCTGACCCCTGGGTGTCACTGGGAAAGGCAGGCAGGGAGGACTGCTATTTGCAAGCATAAAGGGAAAGACTCTAAAACTCCTCCTCCTTCTTCTACTCCCATAATCTCTGGTGAACCAAAGTGGTTTGAAAATATTTTTAGACAATAGTTATGGCTGGTAAGACATGGTAAGAAAGAGACAATTTTATAATAGTTATCATATAACTCTTATAACCCTATTTTTCTTCTTGTTCTGGTGTCACCAGAAGCAAAATTTCTTTCCTGTCTGCCGTCTAGTTTACAATTCAGTTATGAACTTACGGCTTAATTTTCTTTTCTATTTCTATGTGATATCTCCCTTTCTATATTTGTTAGTCTGAAGATTTCTTCCTTCTAATTAACGATAGTCTTCCAACTGTTACCTGCCTTCGAATTCCCAAATCACACTTTCAGAACCAATATTAATTAAGTTAATGGGCATTTGTTTCTGAAAAGAGCCTTCAGAGGAAGCACCAAGAGCTCCATGAGGAAATATGTGACATCTCTGGGGGAGTCCCTGCAGTCACTAGCGGCCCAACCCTGAAGATATGGAAGCGGCACTTGGCTTATGAATAATGCAGATATTAAAAAGAAAAACCAGCCTGTTCCTAGAGGCTTTTCTAGTAACCTCCTCGGGGGCTGCCTTGATTCATTGTCATAGGTACTGATACTTCAGCTCTCCCTTTCTCCTCCATCTAGAACTCCCATTAACTCATTCATTCATTCAACAGCCATCATTTACCAGCAGTGCTGAGGACTAGAGGTATTTAGATTAGTAAGACACAGCCCCTCCTTCAAGGACAGCCAGCCATAGGTGACAAAAGCACACAACCATCTGATTCCAATATCATGTGCTAAGAACTGCGATAGAGCCATACACAAGGAACAGTCAGAGAGCTGAAAGGGGCTCCCCTCACACCCTCTATCCCCGACTTACAGGAGCCAAGGTCTCAGAGGGCTGAGAGAAAGGTTTGTGGGCTAAAGCGAACTTGAAACTCATGAATCTCTTTGGTGATTTACAGACAATTAGGTTTTGTTGTGGCTTACCACACTCGTAAATCATTATTTGCAATATTGTTTTACAGGAAAACTTTATCATAAATTCCAAATAGCCTATCTTAGAAATAACTTCTGGAACATGATCCATTTGTAAATTGCATTCTTCTTTATGTAAGCATGCTTATTTTCTAGTGTGTGAGACTCTGAGATGCAGTTTAAAAGCCATGGCCTAAATCTTACCCTTTAGGTATTTACCAGGGTTTCCTTTATTTGATCAAACTTACTCTCAAACCTTGAAAAACAATAAGAAATTTCCCAATAGTATCATTATCTCTTACACTAACTAAGCCCTCTGACAAAAACAACAAATTATAATTATGTTTTCTGTTTTCACTGAGGCACTCATTAGCTTCTTCCTTTTAGTCATTGAATCAGTCAGGTAAAAATGATAAAGCCTGAACTTGGAAACAGAGATGAGAACAAAACTTCTATATCTTTGCTTTCACCAGTTATGCAACATTAAGCAAGTTATTCAATTCTTTCTGTGCCTCAGTGTACTCAGCTATGAAATGGAAATACTAATATTAATAGTCTTCTTTCATCATGGGTTTTTAAAATGAGGATTTCATAAATGAAACCACACAAAACTATTAGAAAAATGTTTGGTAAATAAGAACTACTCAATAAAAATAGGACTATCATCAACATCATCACCACCAGTTGGTGAGAAATAAAGCAACATTGTAATCATTACATCTGGTTTACCCTGGCAGCTTAGGGTGGCCGTTCCTGCCCGGTAGAGAGAGCCAGATCTGGGAGCCATACCCCGCTCCGACGGTCAGGGCCCGGAGAGCCAGCTCACCTTGACCACCTCGTTGTGCATGGCCTGCACAGCCACGTGGAGGGCTGCCATCATGGCGCTGTTTCGAAGGTTTGGGTTTGCTCCTTTGCTGAGAAGAAACTTAACACTTTCCACCTGGTTTTTTTCTGCAGCCCAGTGCAGAGGGGTATTCCCGTAATCATCCATTACGTTCAGCACTAGAAAAAGACACCAAAATGTAGATTAAAGTCTGTTGGGACTGTATCCAACACCTCCTGAGGGCCTACTCACTTCAAAACTCAGTGCTAAGTGCGACTGTAATCAGCTGCATCTTCTTTACGAAAAGTAAGGACACAGCTTCTGTTCTCATGCACATGAGCCACCCAATGGGCACCTGTCAAGAATAAACAGAAGCATGGCACCGACTTTGTCAACTGAGTTAAATTTCTATCAAGAGCCTTCATAAGCAATAGCACCTATTGCTGCATGTCTTTATGTGTACGTGAATTTGGGGAATGTGATAAAATACCAAGATTATGTAAAAGCAGGAACTACGTGCCAGGCACTCTACTAGGTTCCATATGACCATTATTTCATTCAAGCCTCCAACAGCCCACAAGCTACCCCCATGACCAATTTTCAGAGAGATGAAGATGCTGAGGCCTAGAGAGGCTAACAGTCTTACCCACATCACACGGAAAATAAGGAGGTATGACAGTCACCTGACCTCTTTGAACTTCAGCTGTCTCAAATTCAAATTTGGCATAACAAATAAAAAAGAACTATACACACATCCACCTACACACAGGCACATACACGCATGCATGCACACCCCCCACACCCCCCACACTCCTTGTGCTATTGTTGGGAGAATAACACTAAATCATGTCTTTAAAGATCTTAGCAGAATGCCTGGCCAATAGCAATGGTTCAAAAAATGTTAACAGGAAAAAAGAAACACCACTAATAAACCACAAGACTAGAATTGAAGCTAGAGCCCCTGATGCACACATGGTTTGCACATATTTCTACAATATAATATATAGCACTATTTTCCCTGTGAGCTCAGCATAACAGGTCTTTTCATCCTGCAGTGTGCTATGGCTATTCTAAAATAGATACAGCTGTCTGCTTTGCCAACCATTTAAATTAGTGGTAGTGTACCCTTATGTCTGGGGTGGGAGAAAAGCTATTTACTCATAAATATGATTTGAGGACCACCTATGAAACTTGGAACCAGGCAGGCATGTTTTCTGTTTCTCTCCTTTTTAAAAATCTCTCTCTCCACTATCTCCTTTCACTCATCCAAGTATCTCATTCTCAACAACACACATACACACACGCATCCCCAAGAGCCACACACCCTCACCCACATCTCTTGACCATCCTGTCTGATCAAGATGAGTCACTCCATTCTTCATTCTATTTGGCACCAAACTTAATTAAACAGGGACCTATACTTACAAACTGCCATTCACTAATTAAATAACTTGAATTTGGTTTTATCTTCACCACTTTTCAGAAATCACCTTTACAAAGGTCACTGGGGCCTTCGAATGTAAGGGCTTTATTGTGATCTCCTTCCTACTTGGTCTCTTTGTGGGAACTGCTCCTTCGAACTTACCTGTCCCAGGAACATCTCCCTTGGCTTTTGCATCATCAACCTCTTATCCATCATTCTCCTCATTCTTTTTCTGGCATTTCCTCTGCCCCCTGCCTCTTAGTGTTGGTTACTCTACCCTTAGCTACCAGTTACTAATTTTAAGGCCTTTTATAATTGGCACTAATCTACCCTTCAGAATGACTTCATACCACTCTTTCCAATGAATCTAATGGAATGATAGATTTATGGAACACTCATTGTAACGTATTTTTTACCTTCACAAGAGGAATCATTGATGATCATGTTCATCAGCTCAACTTGACCTTCAGCTGCAGCATGATGCAAAGGGGAGGCATTTGTATCATATCTGCCATTTAATCTCTTTTGTTTCTGGATAAAGTTTTGTGATGTACATGCACTTCCTTCAAAAACCACCTAGAGGTATATAAAAAAGTTTATTATCCAAGACTATCATGCTTATAAAGTAAATATTTTTCTTGAAAACATAAAATGCTTAGAGACATAAAGAAGGTATAAGCAAATGCCTTAACACTGATCAGTACATTAAATAAATGCTTTTATTTTCTGATCACAAACTTGCATATGTTGTAGAAATAAAGGCCTTCTTCCTTCCCTTGGTCCCAATCCACCTAGCTTCCTATAGCCCTCTTAAAGCACCCCTCCTCTAGCAGGCCCTCCTGACAGCTCTAGCAGACGATCTTCAGCCCAGCCTCTCTCTCTCTCATTCTCTCAAGTTCACAGTAGAGCTTTCCAGATGCCACAAGATGTGTGGTGACCTCACCGCACTAATAGTTACTGGAATGCGTGCTGTGCCTTGTGCTTTAACATTTCCTCCACTGTCGTTTCCAATAGGATACATGCTGGTAGCTATAACTCACATAAACAAGCTCTCTTCAAGATGCTTGATAATGTTTAAGTTTAAAAGGGTTCTGAGACAAAAAGTTTGAGAAACACTCTCCAGTTCTTTCTTTATCTCTCATTTTACACACTGTTGCTAAATGTGTACTACCCATTGAATACTTATTTTTCCATGATACTTTCAAATGTGCAAATAATTTTTCCAGAGAGAGAAGAAAGGAAGGAAGGAAGGATAGGAGGGAAGGAGGGAGAAAATAAGAAGAGAGAAAGGGAAACAGGGAGGAGAAACCAGAGCTCTCACAGAGCAGCAGGTGAGGCCACATGGACTATTACTTACACTAGAACATCCCCAGATTATTTGATGAATTTTAATGTCCTAGAGGCTTAAAAAAATCAGTGTTAAAAATAAGAAAAATCAAAAGAACCTCATTCCAGCCCTATGGCAACATATAGACTAAGATTATTTCTCAATGTTACTTTCAGCTTTGCAAATATGTGATCAAATGGTACATTTGCCCAAAATTTTTCCAAAGCTATTTCTTGGCAAATATTTCATCACATGGACCAAAAGCAAAGTGTACTATAAAGAAAGTAGCTTTTCATGGAAACCACTGTGAAATTACCATTTTCTGAAAATGTAAAAATCTTCCCCAAATAGTGATAAATGGCCTAGACACTTTTTTTAATTCTACATTTGACCATGACTGGTCGCATTTGACACACGATAATATATATGTGTTGAAACTCTAAGTTGTTATTTTAAAGATAACCAGAGCATTTCTCACCACTGTAGAGAAAATCAACTAAAATGAAGTGTTAAAGTACTTAATGTGTTTTAATATAGTTAATAAAGAATTTAGCATATTAGGGTTCATTCAGTAAATGTCAGGTTGAAATAAAAACAACTTAATCTCTTAAAATTTTGAACTTTGGTTTTTGCTTCTGTTATCACAGAATAGTATCTAAAAATCACTCTTCTATGGTCATCTTTTACATAGAGATGTGTCACTTTTTAACTAAAAAATTCAATTCTACATATGCTATATATATGATAGTTTAAGTGACCGCAGGATATGACAATGAGCATCCAACTATTTCCAAATTTATACATACTGAGTATTAAATGAAAAACGGGCTTGTTGAAGAAATAAGCTCTTTCTCAATGTCTCTCCCTATCAAAGAAAGTATTTACCTAAATCCATTCAGAAGCATTTCAGCACTTGAATTTGATATATTCTTCAGGTGATAATGAAGGGATTGCACTGCCCACTTCCCAGTGCCAGAAAGAGCACAGGGTCTGTTCAGTATGTGCTATCAACATAAACCCATTCCACACTCTGTAGAGGAAGTACTAGGTTCAGAAACTCACAAGGTACTGCTGAATTCACAATGACAAAACAGCATCTAAATACTTTATATGAGAATATCAGTTGTGCTAAACAGTGTCAATTCAGTACCTGACATGTTGTCAGGCTTTGAAGAGATTTCTTAAAGGCAATCCTAAAAGTAAGCCAAGGATGTCATTTAGACAAATTATTATATATTCAATGTAGTTTCCTATTGTCACAGGGTCACTTCATATTCTTTTTGATTTTGAACTCTATGATCAGATTCAGAACATAATAGACTAGATCACTTTTAGAGAAGCTAATTCTAACTAAGCCCTTTAAAAAACAGAGATATCAAATACATTTGCTTTAGGTTGATTTAATGAAATACATGTAGGCAGCAACAGGGCACAAAAGAAGGAAATTAAGGAGAAAGATTATAACAAATGAAAGGTCAAATGCCAATTATAAAATATGTTATATGTCATATCTTTTATATTATGATGCTGCCAAAAAATCGCTAGAGTTCCAAAGCCTTCACATATGTTGCTTTGTAATAAGTCTAACCACTGGGATTTTTATGAAATGATCCAGAATTATTGCAGTTAATGAAATAAAATACATAAATCCCTCAATCTACAAGCCCTAATGTAGCTTCTAAAAGCCTTAAATAACATAAATGGCTCTACTTAGGCAATAAAACTAACTAAAGACAATTAAACAAAAACATGAAGAAAAATAAGTTTGAGACTTTGAGCTATAGAAATCCTTCAGCAAATGTCTCTAGAAAAACCAAACCACATGGATGATTTTTGAAATGTTAAAATTTCTTCCTGTCCAATATAAATTGTAAGACTATGCTAGTGGTTAAAATCCGTTCATGACTCAACTGTTTGGAGAAGCCAATGGCATCAGTTAACATGCTAATATTAAGGAGAAAAAAAAACGTCTGTGATCACCCTGGATATGTAGACTCACCTTGGGAAGCCTGGCTTGTTGGTGTGTGTGATTTACTACACCTGCCTGACTCACATACATGATTGACAACAGTGACAATTTGTGCAACCTGTTTAGACAGCAATTGGTAATTTCTACTAAAATTAAAGTTGCACATACCTCTTCACCCAGTCAGGACTTTAACATACAGACATACCCACAACAGTATGAATGGATGGTCAGAGAAGCCACATCTACACTCACAGACACAATCGTGTGTAATAGCAAAACAAAACGGAAAAAAAAAACAGCCTAAGTGTCCATCAGTGCTGGACTGGCTAAATAAATCAAGATACATTCATACAATGTGATACTATGAAGCTGCTAAAAAAGCTAGGTATATCTCCCCATGCTAATTTGAACAGTATTCTAAAATATATTTTGTGAGTAAATCAAAGTGGAAATCTCTGTGACTTCATACTTTTATAAGTAATTTTTTAAAAGATATATGAACATATGTGTATTTGTAGAAGCGTTTTTTTTTCCTGGAAAATACATACTGTTAACACGGTTCCACTGTGGAAAGAGATTTGTCATGGGGGGTTTGGAGAGAACTTTTAATGACATCTCAACGGTTCAAAAGAGACCTTTCCTCTTGCTGGCAATCTGAGGACATCAGTGGCGGGTTCTGAGAACCCAACAGCCTCCGTGCCTCAGACTAGGCCATCAGGCCCTGTGCTGCCTTAGGTGCCACTGTCTGGAGAGCTGCATAAGGAATAGAAGCCCCCAGCCCAGCCCTTACCTTCCCCAGGAGACCACTCTCCCATCTTCAAAGGGTCTCATCCTCCACAGAGTTTCCTGATGCCCGCACTCCCTGGAGGAGGAATTCACTAGTCCTGCCTGCGTTTTACCAGAGCCTTCTCTGTAACGCTTCATTCGCAGGCCTTGGTTTCTCCGTGTCACTCTATTAGACAAGAACATTTCTCCACCAAGCACCTCTTGCCTGAATAGCTATCCGAGGACTACCCGACACGCTGCGTGGCTACAAACGAAATCTACGAAAAGGTCCCTGTGAGACCTCACGCACTTCAAATTGTCCTGCTTTTAGGCAGTTGCCTAATTGTACCAAATGCCAAAGGTACTTTTTGAGTAGGTCTCCCGGAACTGCAGTTGCCCATTCAGGAGCAAGCACAGGCTGCACAAACAAGCAAGCAAACAAAAAGGACAAAGCAGGACCGTTGTGGGCGTGTTATTAGCGTGGCCCCGCAGGCTCCCCACGTCTCGAGGTCTACTCTTGGAAAGTGCACACGCCCCTAAGCAAGCACCCCGCTGGCCTCTCCAGGCTTCCTACTTCCCGCCCTTGCATCCGAGGGCTGCCCGCAAGGGAACCTCGAGCCCCCCGCCCGGACTTTGCGGCGGGTCCCGACCGCCAAGCGCCCAGGGTACCTTAAGCGACTCCTTGCTGTCGTCCATGTCGTCCTGCACGCCCTGATAGACAACGTCTTGGGGCTCCTTCTTCTCGCCAGGGCGCAGAATCTTCCTCAGGCTGCGCTTCATTGTCCCCACCCCGGACGCCACCTGGTGCAGCTGCTCCCCACGTGCGCTGGCACCTGCGGCGAGAGAGGGGTGAGCCACACGGGCGGCGGCGGGTCGGAGCGCCAGAGCCCGAGCTCTCCCGCACCTTGCACTTCCCGGGTTGCGGCACAACTAGCTCTGTGGGAAGCCCAGGACAACTTCTGGAAGAGTTCTCAGGCTTGGGCTACTTGTAGCTGCAGGAAGGAGGCGGGGCACAGGAAGGAGGCAGAAACACAAACCTCGCGTCCACCAGGGCACTCGCCCCTTTAGGGAACAACGTGACTTGTGACTTGCTTGTCCTCGCTGCCCTGCAGAGGCGGCCCCAACAGCGAGAATCTGTTATAAAAAGCACCAAGAGCCGTGTGTGTGTGTGTGTGTGTGTGTGTGTGTGTGTGTGTGTGTGTGTGTGTGTGTGTAAAGAGAGAAGAAGAAGGAATGAGAGAATAACTGGGCACGTTGGGAAGATTTTTTGTTTTCAGAATCTTTTTTCCCGACCTTTAAAGCCTATGGATCTGTCTTTCCCATGTCCACCACCTTTTGGGGGCCTCTTTGATTGGGAAATAATGTTTTTAGTAAAACTTCTCCTTCCAGACATTTGGGAGAATGGTTAAATCCTGGCACTGGTTTGAGGGACTAGATTAAGTCCCTGTGACTCTCAGGGACCATTTCCTGTGGCTAATAATACTGATCCACTGCATGCTTTGGTGTTTTAAGAATGGCTAATTAAAATGACAGGTTAAATATAAGCCACTAGTGACTGACGTAAGCTTGTTCACCCTCAGCTTTGTTTGAGAGACTTCGTGGACCTGTGCTGCATTCATTAATCAACAGCGTAGGTATTGTGTAGAGTAAAAGGTGTTCTCTCTCAATTGAAGAGACTACTTCTGCATTTATGTACAGCCAGGGGAGCTTCTGAAATTGTTGCCAGGATATTTAAGCTGCAAGGTCAGAAAGCAAGAAAACCTCTTTCCAAGGCTGATTATACTTTGCACAGGACAGAGCATAGCTTTGACAGTCTTTTTGCTTTGACATATTGTGTTCCTTGAAGCCCTGGATTGTCATTTTCGCCTGGCTATTTCCAGTGCCTAACACAAGCCCCGCATGGATCCAGGGCCTGGCACAGAGCTGACGCTCAGTGATGGTTTGTGAACTTCCTGACCTAGGGGCTCCAGTGGGCTGAACTTAGGGGTAGGCAGAGTGGTCATGATGATATTGAGGAACCATGAAAGGTCTCCCAAAATCTTCCAGTGCATATGGCAGATAGCCATCAATTCCACCCCTGGAGTGGAATTCCTTGGAAGGATAATGTTGAATGTGTCACATCATGAATCCATGAGTGTGGCTTACTGAAAGCTTGGTGAAGGATGCAGATGTTCAGCTTCGCCCCTGCACACTTTTCCCACCGGCATCTATGTTCAGCAAGTGCAAAACAAAGATCAGCCGCATACCTTGCTATGATTTAGCTGAAGTAGGTAATGCAGTTGGAAAAACCAGTAAAGAATCAAAGGGATGAGTAAAGAGAATAACTTTCACTGACCCACTGCTATCTACCTGGCATTTTACATACACCAGGTTCATGTTTTAGAATGGAAATGTCTCATAGGAATATTAAGACTTTTTATTTGTTATCATGAATTATTTCAATCAATTGCTTTTCTCCCCACATTCAGCTGAAAAGGGTCACTAAGGCGAAAAGGGAATAAACAGGAGATTCAAAGGGGTAATTTTGGAAGCTGGGGCAGATGGCATGCCATGGTAGCAAGCGCCAGATGGCCCTGTTGGCCCTGGGAAAGGGATGTGGGGGCCAGGGAACTCCAGCCATGGAGAGTGGAGGGGAGTGTGGGGAGGAGGGTGGCTCCAGAACAACAACACCCCTCCTATGTAACATCTCCTTGTGTCAGCCGCCAGCACAGCATCTCTGCAGAATGATGCTGTCTGCGTTCCTGTTTATGCACCTCACTTACATCCCCCAAAGCATGTATTCTTTTTAACTCATCCTCTCCAGCTTTAACACTGAAAAATATAGATGGTTGGTATTATAGATTAATTTTTTTTCCTGCTTTCTGCTTGTAAAAACAGGGGTTATTAATTAATTTTTTTTTATCTTTTGCCGGATTTGTCCATTTTAGCCATTTTTCAGGCAGTGTCTTCCTAAGACCTCTCAGGAATTCCCCTAACTGCTTCTTATTAATTGTTAAATTGTTTCCTACCCATCAAAAATGATCTCTTTCATAAAGCTGCCCTTTTAAATTACTGCAAATCCTGGTCTTAAAATGCATAATGTAGTTAGGAACAGGATGGTATCCAGCCATTTACGACCAGGATCTTACTACTTTTGAAGTTTAATTATTGATGAATAGTAATAAAATGCAGTGTTTTTATACCAATTATAATTTCGACATAAGGATAATTATTAAAGATAATTATTAAATAAAATAAGCCTTCACAGAAATTTCCTGAAGGTAATTTTTATTATCAAATTATGTTGTGATACTATGTAGGACCTTATTCAAGAAAATTAAAAGTAATAATAATAAGTGATTTTATTTAAATTCTTGGGGAAAATATAGTTATATACATATATAAGCTCAGTAACTTTTTACAAAAAATCTAAATTACCAAAAATTATCTTTATTTTATTCCCCAATTTAAAACAAAGTTTTTATTTACAAATTAATTACAAAAAATTTTTTAAGCCTTCAATCCAAATATATTATTATTAGTACCAGTACCTGAAGGGAAAACTGCTTGGTTACCTTTAGTGCCTTAACTCAATAATATAATGTTTTGGGGCCTACTAAAGATACTAAGAAATAGAAAATAGCATCTTTTTCAAAAACATATAAAGTTCACCCATAGTAAGTATACGGTTTGATGATTTTTAGTAAATTTATGCAACTATACCACTATCCGCATAATCCAGTTTTAGAATACTTCCATCAATCCAAATAGTTAGCTTTTGCTAAAATGCAGTCATTCCGCTCTCCCACCCATAGCCCTAAGCAACCTTTGATCTGTCTCTATAGCACAGTTTCTGTCTCTATAGTTTAGCCTTTTCTAGAAATTTCAGATACATGGAGAAATACAGTATGTACTCTTTTACAACTGGCTTCTTTTGCCTAGCATAATGCACTTGGGATTTCACCCACGTTGTAGTATGTCATCAGTACACTATACACTACTTAATGCTCAGTAGTATTCCATTGTATGGATATACCTTATTTTCTTTATCCATTTACTGGTTGATAGATATTTGGATTATTTCCAATTTTGGTCTATTATAAATAATGCTATTAATATTATTAAAAATGCTGAACATTTTCAAGTAAACCTTTTTGTGGACATATATTTTGCATTTCTCTCATATAGAAATTCCTTGATGAAATTTTTATCAAATTTTTTTGCATCTTTTTAAATTAGATTGTCTTTTTACTATTGAGTTGTTAGAGTTCTTTATTCTAAATACAAGTCTTTTGTCACATAAATAAGTTGAAAATATGTTTTCAGAATCTGTGGCTTCTCTTTGTTTTCTTAATAGTGTTTCTGAAAAGCAAATCTTTTAATTTTGATAAAAGTCTAATTTCTTAATTTTTTCTGGACTGTGCTTTGGATGTCATATGCAGAAATTTTTGCCTATGCCAAGATTAAAAAGTTTCTTTTCAATGTTTTCTTTCTTGAGCTCTTATTAATACATAGATCAATTTTTTTTTTTGAGACGGAGTCTGGCTCTGTTGCCCTGGCTAGAGTGCCGTGGAGTCAGCATAGCTCACAGCAACCTCAAACTCCTGAGCTCAAGCCATCCTCCTGCCTCAGCCTCCCGTGTAGCTGGGACTACAGGCATGTGCCACCGTGCCCGGCTAATTTTTTCTATATATATATTTTTAGTTGTCCAGATAATTTCTTTCTATCTTTAGTAGAGACGAGGTCTCGCTCTTGCTCCAGCTGGTCTCTTACTCCTGACCTTGAGCGATCCACCCGCCTCAGCCTCCCAGAGTGCTAGGATTACAGGCGTGAGCCACCGCACCCGGCCCATAGATCAATTTTGAGTTAATTTTTGAGTAGGGTGTGAGGTAGAGGTCTAAGTTCATTTTTATAGCATATGGATACACAACTGTTACCAACTGTTGAAAATACTATACTTTCCTCATAGAATTGCCTTGGAGCTATTGACAAAAATCAATTCACTGTAAATATAAGGGTTTGTTTCTAGACTATTCTATTCCATTGATCAAAATCTCTCTGTTTAAGCCAATACCACATTGTCTTGATTTTGTGGCTTCATAGTAATTTTGAAACAAAACAATGTGATGGTTAATTTTTGGTGTCAGCTTGACTGGATTGAGGGATGCCTAGGTAGCAGGTGAAGGATTGTTTCTGGGTATGTCTGTGAGGGTATTCTTAGGGGAGACTGGCATGTGAGCCAGTGGACTGAGCAGGGACCTCCCACCCTCAATGCAGGCAGGCAGGAGCCAATGGGCTGGGGGCCCGGCTGGAAAAAAGGGGCAGAGGAAGATGGATTCACCCTCTGTTTTCTCTGTCACTTCTGGAGTGGGATGCTTTTTTTCTCCTCCTGCCTTTGGACATAAGACTCCAGGTTCTTCAGTTTTGGGACTCTGGGACTTCCACCAACAGCTTTCTGGTGGGTGGGGTAGGTGCGTCACGAGGCTGACTGGGCGCTGCACTGCTGGCTTCCCTGGTTCTGAATCTTGGGTCTTGGACTGAGTCATGCTGCTGGCTTTGAGTCATGCTACCAGCTTCTCTGTTTCTCCAGCTTGCAGTTGATCTATTGCGGGACCTCACCTTTGTGAATCTGTGAGCCAATTCCAGCTAGTAAATCACCTTCTACATACGCTCCTGGTTCTGTCTCCCTGGAGAACTCTGACTGATAGACATGGTGTAAGTCCTCCAAATTTGTTCTTTTTCCATATTGTTTTGGCTTGCTAGGTCCCTTGCACTTCTGTATAAATTTTAGTGTGTTTGTA